GCAAAAGACACAGCTCCTGTTAATGGCCTTGACAGCTTGATGGCTGTTTCAGGATGGGTTGTTATTACCATTATTTTTATTGTTATTTTAATGAAAAGCAAATTCAAGGAACATGGAGAATGTATGTATCAGATTTCACACAAATTACACTAAAAGTACCTGCCACATTTGAATATGAATTGGGTTTATTCCGTTTCCAGAAAGCAGAGTAATACCTAAAAGTTGTCTGGGCAGGATAAAATTGCATGTCCCATCTCTTCTGTGTGTAGCTGTGTCCTTGCTCTGCCCTCTCCCAAGAAGCACTTGCTTCATTCATTGCCAAGTACCCTGAGTATGGATTAAAGTGCTGCAATCAAGGTGAGTGTCTGAGGCCATTGCCTAACTTTCTAACGAGCTGGAAAGAAATGAAGTGCATCATTAGGATGGAAGAGCTGACTGGTTTAGTTGACACTATTAAAGGCTTCCCTGCAAAATTGAGTTCTTTCTCCCTTTCTCTTTTTTTTTTTTTTTTACCCTTGTCTCCTGTGTGGCATCAAGCAACTTGTTTGAACCCAGCTCTTCTGCTTCACAGTGCTGCTGTATCTGCCTGGAATGCCCAAGCTTAAATTCCACAAGTTGATTTCCAGGAGTGCAGAGCACTAATGTGGTTTGAATGAAGTTGCTTAAAAAGATGGATTCCTTGGAGAGTGTATGTGTAATTCCTAAGTGCATATTGTTCTTGAAGGAGGAATAGTGGCCTTGAGTGCATGGCAACATGGAGAATGTCACAGCTGGTCATCTCCATCTGTTTGAACAATGAGCAGTGAAGGAGAGGTGACCTGGGCAGCTGCTGTGAGAGCCTTGCAGTATAAGCAGTTCCTTGTCCACCCTGAAGGTTGGTTCCTTGGGCAGGGACAGCGGAATGGGAGCCCAGCACTCCTGCATGGAGCTGATCTGCCAGCTGGATCTTATCACAGAGTCACAGAATGGTTTGGGCTTGAAGTGACCTTAAAGATCACATAGTTCCAACTCCTCTGCCATGGACAGGGACACCTTTCCTACCAGACCAGACTTCTCAGAGCCACATCCAACCTGGCCTTGAACGCTTGCACAGATAGGGCAGCCACAGCTTCTCTGGGCAACCTCTGCCAGTGTCTCACCGCTGTCATAGTGATGAAATTTTCTGGCGTTTCCAGAAGCTCCACCCTTGCCTTTCTCCAGTAAAATCCACATGTAAACTACAGGAGTGCTGATATTCCTGAGCTGGGAGATGCTTGCACTGGAGATTCACCATGATCTTGTTTAGTAGCAGCTTTATCTCTGTAGTGGCACCACTGAGCACAAAGTCTCTTTACAGCTTAAAAACTGAACTGGTCTGGTTGTAAATGAGATGGGAAAATCACTGGCCTGGCTGGGTTCCCAGAGCAATGCTGTGTTTCCCTTAGAGAGGCAAATGCCACCCCAACCAGTTGCAGTGGCTGCCTTTGCTCTCACCTCCAGCCCTGCCCAACCTGTGCCTGTGTCTTGGTGCTGGCTGGAGCTGAGCTCCCCCAGTCCGAAGTTTTCTGCGTGGCTGTGGCCAGGCGGCGGGGCTGGCGCTGGCAGATGGGCTGTGGGGTGACATCTGCTGCTGGCACGGGCAGCCAGCCCTCCTGGGACAGAGCGGCCGCTGCCACCACCTCCCTGCTGGCTCCTGGCCATGGTGGCCAGCCCGGGCTCTGCCCTGGCTCTGGCCCAGCTCCCCCATCCCGCTGCCTGCAGGGACAGCCAGGCTGGGATTGCTGCCTCTGCCAGGGACACTCCTGCCAGCTTGGAAAGAGAGATTCTGTCCCTCAGGGCCTGGCAGGAGGAGGTGACAGCAGGCTCCAGCCCTGTCAGGGGTAACGAGGGGCACTGCTGGCTGGGACAGACAAGAGCAGCCGGGGCTTTTGGCCAGTCACTGGTGTGGGGCTTCCCCATCTTTCCCTGCTGCCCGTGAGGGGCCAAGCCTTGGCGCAGCGGTGGCGGGTGTTTACAGCAGGAACGTGCTCCGGGAGTGTGGGAATCCAGGGCTTCCCTCTGGCTGCCCTGGCAGGGGTCAGGAACCCCCCTGGACAGAGCCCCCAGAGACACTGTCTGTGATCTCTGTCCATGGAAAAGAGTTTTCAATCTTACAGGATGAATTACAAGCTTTGAGTGTTTGATAAGAGTAATAATTAAGTGTGACACGGGTGCAAAAGTAAAATTTTAGATTTCTAGATTAGGGGTTCAGAGGGGACAAGATGGAGGAATTGGGTGTGTCCTGTCCTTTTCCTCCTTCTTCATGCCCTCCATGTTTCACTGTGGTGTTGGCATTTTTCTGTTGGTTCAGGCTGGGGACACACTGTTCAACGTAGGTGACAGATATTGACACGTTATTGTAAATCCAGCACAGGTAGTTTGTGGTATTTAATGTTTGTACCATCCCACTGAGGGCAGAGCCCCACACGCTGCCCTGCAGGACAGAGCTGCGGCAGGGCAGCAGAACATGTTAGAGATAAACAGAATAAACAACCTTGGAAACAGCACAGACCAATTATGGCTTCTGCTTTGGCAGGGGGCTGACAGACAGAGACTTTCTACAATCTCGGAATCACCAATACCCACAGATTCCGACACGGGAGGCCACTGCAGAGTGCTGTGGGTGCGGCTGATGTCACAGAGGTGTTTGCTGGCCCAGTGAGGGAGGTGTGAAGGGCCCTGTCAGTGTTGGGGGAACAGCCTGTGCTGTGCTGGGAATCCCCAGTGCCCGGGGGACAGGAGCAGCAATCCCCCCTCCGTGGGGGCCCAGCCGGTGATGGAGTGTTTGGCACGCAGGCGTTTGATGCTCCTCTGCTTGCTTTGAAGCATCTGCTTAGCACAAAAGTATCTGCTGCATTAGGCTGCCCTGAGTCCCCCTGCAAGCAGAGGCTTGTGAGAGCCCAGGCTTGTGGCAGTGCCACTGGGCTTTCTCAGTAGCAAAAGCATCCTGGAAAATACTCTGAGGAGCCTGAGATGTACATGAACCAAGCAGAACTGTGGTACCAGTCCTTCCCTGTAGCAGAGATGGGCCATGCACACCCCCCCACACCTCTTAGCACACTTGGGGCACGTGGCTCCTGGCTGTGGCCACTGCTATGCCCAGCCTGGCATGTGCCAGTCTCTTGCTAAGTCTAAGCCAACTCAGGCCAGCCTCCTTTTGTGCCTGATCCCAACTGCAAACAGCTGCTGTAAATCCCACTGATTTTCCCACTATTTTGTAGAATGAAGTCATCCCTGTGTGGCCACACTTGAAGGCGTAGCCAGCAGCCTGCTCTGTCCCCAGCCATGATTCAGGGGAGGGCACGTGTGTGTGATGCTGTGCAAGGTGTGTGTCCCTGCCCACCACAGCGCTTGGGGGAGAGCCAGGCTTACCTCAGCCTGCAGTGTGGTGTTTGTGAAGCCTGTGAGGAGTGTCATGGAGAGAATTCAGCTCCCTGTCCCGCTGCCTGCGAGGAAATCAGCTGCAGAACTGGGGCTTGTGAAGCTCCTGATCTGTACAGCAGTGAGATCTGATGGACAGCTCTGTCTGCAGACCACCACTCAGGAATTTTCTCCCCTTGCATCTTCCCCTAACAGAACAAACCCTGCTGCCTCTGGGTGTGCTTTGTGTGCTCACAGGGCGGATGGGACAGGAGGGACAGCTGGGATTTACGGGATCACCATGGCAGTAGGATGCTGCTCAGCTGGAAGTGAGAGATGGCTCCTCTCACAGCTGCTGTGCTGCTGGTTGGATCCTCTGGCCTCAGCTCGCTGTTTGCTTTTGCTGACCTATTTTCATCAGCCCAGCACATGGCTGAAGAAGTTGGAAGCTAAGGCAGCTGCTCTTCCTGGGGATTTTTCTCTTGCTGAAAGGGCCATGAGTCACTGTCTCTGTCAGAGCATGAAATAGAATTTGCTTAACTCTGTGCTGGAGCCCAGAATTGGGTAGGTTTGCTTATGGTCTGCTTTGCTGTGAAAATAAAACCCCAGGAAGCTATTCCTGGTGTGTGCCCAGGTTTTGAGTCAGGCAAACCTTTGCTTATATTTCTCAGTTTAAGAAATAATCCAGTTCTCACCCCTGTCCATTCCCTCCAGTTAGCACTTGTGGACAAACTCACTGAGCCAGCTAAGCCAGGTATAGCTTAGTTCCAGCTCATCTTCACTCTCTCAGTGCAGGTATCCCTGCAGGACCGTGTTTATTGTGGCTTAGTGCACCTGAAGCCAAGCATGGCTCATCCACAGCAGCGCAATGTGCATTTTTATGTCCTTATTTAAGCTGAGTGGAGATGGGGCTGCTAATCCTTTCTGACAGGGAGGTCACCCTTGAGAGTGGTGCCCCGGGAGGGCAGGCACCACGGGCAGGCACGTGGGGCTGGGGGAGCTGTGCCCTGAGCCAGTGGCTCCTCTGTCTTTGAGCAGCTCCTCGGCCTTGACAGCCGCCCCTTCTCCCTCCGTCCTGCCTTCACCTTCCCTGGCTGCTGCTGGCTCTGATAAGGTCACTGCCTCTGAAGCCTGGAACCTTCTCCACCTCCAGTTTTACTTCCAGTACTGCAGTGGTTCCTCTCCTCTTTGCTGTAACACCGCCTCCAGCCAGGCAAAACCCCACAGGAGAGCTCTAAGAGTCTAAGAGGGACCTTCCAGGACCTGGCTGGGACTGATCCTGTCCCCTCAGCATCAGGGGACATGCGTGGCAAGAAGGACAGCATCCCTAGCACACCTGGAGTGCACTCGTGGGTGCCTGCTGTGCAGGGCAGGGCCAGAGCTGCTGTGAGGATGAAGCCCTTTCCCATCCAGCTGCTCTGTGCAGCAGCTGCTCAGGAGTCCAGTCCCCATGGCAGGGCACGTGTGGGCAGTGCTGCTTGTCAGGCAGCGAGCGAGGAGGGCCTGTGTCCTGAAGGAGGTGACATCTTGCTGTGACAAGCCACACAGGGTGCCTGGAGGGGTGCAGGACACTCCCAAAGTGACCAGGGAAAGGTTCAGCCTTCCTGCTGTAGGGCCACCACAGCTGTGTTTGCAGTCCCTCCACCCACACCCTGTCCCCACAGGTTTCTGGGATTTGTGTGGGGCTGTGATGACCACCAAACATGCTGAAGCTATGGTGTCTATGGAGAATATGCCATATATATATATTTTTTAATGAGATGGTATGGAACAGTTCATAAAAAAGAGAAATGGGTGCTTCCCACCCATTGTCCGTAAAGCTCTGTGAGAAATGGCCCGTGCCCACCAGCTGGGAATGCCAGGCTCAGGAACAACCAAGGGCAGCTGCAATGAGCAGGGCAGTGCTGCTCCCAGGGGAAAAGTGCCTGTTTCCTGGCTGCTTCTGCAATGAAGAGAGCAGGTAAGTCTCTTCTGGTGGGTCATACAAAACCCCTTTCCAGAGGTAAGTCCACATGTGGACAAGAGCCTGGATGGTGCCTTAGCAGTGTTAGGAGAGGTCTCCTTGGCAGAGGAGCTGCAGCTCTCCAGTTCATCTGTGCTGCCTCCCACTGCCCAGCTCCAGCTGGGCTCGGTGCCATTCAGCTTTGGTGCCGTGTCCTATGCCTGGGGACCACCCCCAAGACCAGGACATGCTGCTTCCAGACCTGGGCGTTCAAAATCCCGGTGGCTCACCCTGAGCGACAGGCAGGTGGTGTCCCCTAGAGCCAGCTCTGCCCCTCCGAGCCCTCTGCCGCCGGTAGCCCGGTGGCTCGGTGGGAGGCAGGCTGATGTGGAATGTTCTCCGTGCCCAGGATCGCAGCATTCCCGGCTGTGAGCGGTGTCTGGGAGGAGCCGCTCAGCAGCTGCTGTGCCAGGAGCTGCCCTTGCTGCTGTCGCACCTCCTTCCGAGGAGCCAGCAGCTCCCACGGTCGGCACCGCGCTGGACCTTGTGCTGAAGGACACCTCGGGAAGTGGCGGAGGGTGTCCCAGGAGGGGACCCCATCTCCTGCCCTCGCACCGCAGGCAGCGTCACCGCAGGAGCAGCACCAGGGGCAGCAGCAGCAGCAGCGTCGGGCACACTGAGATCCCAGCAGCGCCACCGCAGTCCTGGGCATTTTCCTGCCAGATGGGAGACAAGGGGTCAACTTGCCTGCTGCCAAGCCCACCTGTCACTTTTGGAAGAGGGAGCGATGCCTGTGGCCGAAAGATCCCACCGGGAGCCAAGGAAGGGACTGGTTTATTCCTTCCATGGGCTAGGAAGCCACATGGCTCCTCGTGTGTGTTGGTGTGTGTGTGTGCTTGCTCCTGACCTGTGGTTTCCGAGCTCAAGCCCTTCCCAGGTGGCACTAATGTGAAATCCTGCTAGGAACCCCCTCGGGGATTCACGGCTGTGTCTGGCTCCAGCCAGCAGGCCGGGCAAGGGTGCAAGAGGAGACATTTGTGCATTGGGGCCCGGGCATGCCCGTGGTGCCATCAGCTGTCCCCCCCTGTCCCCGCTGTCCCGGGATACCTCAGGGTGGAAAGCGTGGCACGAGTCCGGCCGCCGGCGCAGCTTCTGGGAGCGCATCCTCTCGCACTTCACCGACGCGTTGTGTGCGGGGCTGTTAAGGACCGCCGGGGCGGGCAGGGAAAGGGGATGGATGCCACACAGACCCCCTGGGCCCCCACACAAGTTTGGCTGGGTGGAACTGCACCACCCGGGAGGACGAGGGAAGGGCAGGTCACTCTGCACGGGCTGGAGACCTCTCCAAGCCAGTTCATGCTCTCCACCCCCACGGCAATGACAGCAGAAGCACATTTTCCACCCTGGTAAACAGGGCCTGTGGAGCCCTGCATCCCTGCTGTGCATGGAAGGATATATTTGACCTCTTTTGCATCCATTGGGACGGGTGGGAAGACGCTGCAATCGCAGACAGTGTCTGTGACAAGGAGCAGGAGGTTACTGCTGACGATCTGCTGTGCCACAAACATCCTGCAAGGGAAGAGCAGGTGAAAAAAAGCACAACTCTCCAGCCCAGAGCAGCAGCCCTGGAATTGTCTGAACCACAGCAAAGAAATGGAAATAAAACAGTGATTATTGGAAACAGGGTGCCAGCAGAAAGCAGAAGAGACCAGCGAGCAGGCCAGGGAGAAGTGCCATTGGCACTCCTTTTTGGCCTCCTTTTTGGCTCTGAACTGGCTCAAATTTACAAGTCCATGCTAGGCACAAAAGTCAAAATCAACCCCAACCCAACCAACCAGCCAAAACCAACACAAGCCCTCCCCAGATGGGGCAGCACATCACAGCAGATGACACCTGAGCAAAGCCTGGCTTCACCTAGAGGTATGTCAGTGCCTATCTAGTGTATATTTATGTGTGTGTTTGTACAGTGCAAGGGTGTCTGTATTCTGTGGTCCTGGGAGGAGCAAAATTGTGTAAATTCCACATTATTGGAGAGAGAAATAGAGGAACCCAATGACATTGTGGGTTACACTGGTGTGACAGGACTGACCAACTGGTGTCTGGCAGGGAGCCAGCATGTCCTGGAGCCACTGGGCACAGGGAAGGCTGGGGACATCAGGCTCTGCGTGCCTGCACTGGTGGCAGGGCTTCTGGAATAGAAACACAGGCTTGTGGGGATGTGCTCACTGCACTGGTCAAGCTGACTATGCTGGAACAGTGCCCAGTGTCCCTGGTTATTCACCACCTGGCCTTGCTGCCTTCCAGCTGTGGATAGTCTCAGTTCAGTCAGAGAGAAAGAGAGAAAGAGAAAAAGAGAGAGAAAAAGAGAAAAAGATTAAAAGAGAAAAAGAGAGAAAGATTTTTGCCAGGCTAAGCCTGGGGAAAAGTCCCAGAGGAATGTAAGCAATCTATTATCTTGCTTTCCATTCATATTGTTTATAGATATGTTCTTCCACACTGACCTAAGTCCAGTGTACCAATCAGGTGAAATGTTTTTATTTAAGACCAATGGAATTAATGTTCATGATGTTCTCTATAAAAGAGAGAAATGCTTTTGAATAAACGCTCAGTTTGCCTTCTGAAATCATGTGAGTAATTTCGCCTGTCCCTGGCTCAACAGCGTCATCCAGCCTCCAGGGATTTCTGTGTCCCCTTTCAAAGGTGCTGAATAGCACACCAGCAGCTGACCATTTCATTAGTGCTCCCTGACTAATGACTGCCTTGGGAGCTTTGGCAAGCAGCCTTCAACCCATGCACAGATTTGGTCACCAGGACAGAGATGCCCCATGCATCAATCCACAAGCCAACATTTCTGCCCAAGATGGAGCACCCAGCCCACCCCTGCTCCACCAGAAGCTTGTGGGATGTCATCAGGAATGCCTGCATGCCAGGCCCTGGCTAATGCTCCACAGAGCCTGTGGCAGGGGTGTGGGGGGCTGTCTCTCCCAAATATCTGGATAAAAGATGCACAGAGGCTGTAGCTACAGAGGAGCCAAGCAGGACACAGCACCTGCTGCCCCAGCACTGGTGAGGTGCTGCCCTCCAGCAGGGAAGGGGCAGCTCCCAGGCTTTGTCTGTAGCACAGATCTGGGACCCAAAGAGGTCACTCAATTCCTCTGGATCTGCTCAGAGCTTAATAAAACACCTTGTTGTCATCAAATCTGCAATCTCTTCTGAAACAATGCTTGGCAAAGCTCTGCTTTTCCTAGAGCCATGCCGGCTAGTGGAGGCTGTTTTTCTAAGCTTTAAGTCTTTCCTGCAGTTGATCCAATACTGAAGACTAGGTTTTGTGGGCTTTTTTTAGGAGCAGTTCCAGTCATATTTGTTTGGCCTCCTCACATTAGGAAGGGCTGGATCAGTGGAAATTCATCTTTTTGTCACCTTTCCACAGGTGATTGCTAATGGCACTGTGCAACCACTGAAAGCAGCCTGACTTTCTTGTTACTTTTTACTGTCCATTCACTTACAATGAAAATGGGAAATAAAAAAGTTGCTTCTTGTTTTCAGTTCTTTCAGTTTAACACTTATTTTCCCCCCATCCTTGCTTTTTGTTGTTTTTTTTTTGTTTGTTTTTTTTGTTTTTTTTTGTTGTTGTTTTTGGGGTTTTTGGGTTTTTTTGGGGTTTTTTTGGGTTTTTTTTTGGTTTTTTTTTGTTTGTTTGTTTTGTTTTGTTTCTGTAGAAATACAGAAAAGGGTGAAAATGAAAAAAAAAAAAAATACAAGGAAAGCCAAGAGGGAAAGCAAAAAGGGAAAAATTTCTAAGATGAAAACTTTTGCCAGAAACATGAAAGAACAGAAAAAGTTCCTTTCTGAAATCGGTGGAACGGCAAGATATATGTATTTAAATGCATATATGTATTCTTTGTTCTCCAGCTACCTCTGCTTTTTTTTTCCCTCTGTGGCCAGAGCTGTGGTTGTGTGGTTGTTGTGGTGGCAGGTGACCCTTCTGATGCTGCTGTCCTCCCCAGCAGCCCTGGGACGAGGCCCCCAGCTGAAAGGGAAGTGCAACTCTTACTTTTGGCAGTCTCCACAGTCGATGAGCCCGTTGGTCTCCTTGATGGCCGGCTCGTAGACGAACACGGGGTACTCGGTGTCGCAGGGCTGCAGCGTGTCGTGCTTCTTGTGCTTGTGAGCTGCCGGGGGAAGGGACAAGGACACGCGTGAGTGGCACACGCAAAGGTGATGCCCTTTGGAGGAGCAGCTCCCCTCCAGAGGTGGCCAGGAGCAGGTGATGCTGCAGGGGGAAGGAGATGCTGCAGAAAGCAGCCAGGCAGTGATGCCTGCTCCCACTAGGTGGTGTGGGAAAACCAGCCTATGTGAAAATGCCTCCGGTATCGCCTTCCTCAGCTGTCGGAACTCAAAATGTCCCTCAGACATTTTCAGAGGTTCCAGGCCTTGGTCAAAAGCATTTTAGACCCTGGCAAGCAGCTGAAAACAGCTGTGATCTTGAGTTTGAACCATGGAATGAATTACCAACTTTGAAGGTGGAACAAGCGGTCACAGAAAGTTAGATGGTATAGTAAAAGTAGCCACAAATTAGAGGGAAAAATTTTTTAGTATTGTACAGGGGGGTTTTAATACCTGTACAGGGGGGTTTTACTTTGTACATGGGGGTCAGGAGTTCTAAGATGGAGGAAAGTGGGCCTGATCCTGTTCTTCCTCCTTCTTCTTCCTTGCCTCCATGTTCTTGGTGATGTTGGCATTCACAGATTGGTTTAGAGTAGAAAAGCACATTGAAACATAGATAGTAGGTATTGGGGAAAATCTGTAAACATATAATACGTAATATATCATATAAAAGATAGCAGCAGCCCTGGGCAGGGGGAGAGACGACGGAGACACCGGACAGTGAGGGTGTCAGGGGTGTGTGTGTCACGTTAAGAAGAAACCACCAGCAGCACACAGATCTGGCCTGAGACCACAGGGAAACAGATGACAGCTCTGGAGGACCAGCAGAGACCCAGCTAATGAACAGCACTGGCTCCCGGAGGGAGCAGCTGCTCCATCACTCATCAGTCACACCCTGTAGGACTCCCGAAGTAATTTAGGGATGTGGGGGAGCTGAACCACCTCACTAAGCCTCCCTCAAGAAGCAAGAACATTCTTTCTAGGAGTTCAGCAAAATCTGTCTTGCCTGAAACTACTGCCTTGGGCCCTTCTGGCAATTATTTTCTGCAGTTGGAGGTAGCAAAGCCAGCTCCTGCCTCTGTAGGACACAGGGGACTGCTGCTGATGGAAATACGAAGCTTTGTTGCTAGGGCAGAGGTGGCTGCGGCTCAGCCAGCAGCAAGTACAAGAAATGGTTTCTACATCAGCTTTGGGTCTGTGCACAAAAGCCTCACTTTGCAGCCTCCCACCCACACAGCAGCCATGGGCAGTGCTCCTGGGGGGGACCAGCAGGGAAGAGAGTCCTCCTCACGTGGAGGATGCCCAGTTTACTCCTTGCAGCAGAAGCGCTGAAGATTTATAGACAAATGCAGCAGCCTGGGTTTTAATCAGCAAATGTATGGTGAGGAGGCATCAAGAGGGCATCCGTGACTGGATGGGTGATTTGCATCACTGTAAAACCTTCACTGCTGAGAGCAATGGTCTCCTCTCCCCTGGCACTGCCAGAGCAGGCAGAAAGCAGCAGGCACCTCCCCGCAGAGCTTGCCATCTAAACAATGTGGATTACATGAGAGAGAGAAAAACTGCCTGATTTTCTCTGATTTTCCTCTCCACCATGGCAATCCAGCAACACAAGACATCCATTAAGAGCCAGGAACTGCAGCCCAATCTTGCCTCTAATGCCTTGCCCAGGTGAATATGATGGGCACTCAAACCCTTCCCTGCAGTGCAGTCTCTGGTAATTGTACTTTGTGCTTTTCTTCTGAAGTGTCAAAAACCAGCACTCAGGAGGCAGCCCCCTGCTTAAATCCTTCCAGACCATGGGACCCACCTTTCAGTGACACTGTGAGGTTAATTTTGCACAGATTCAAAAGCACACAGAGCCTGAATGCAGCACAATGCCTCATTCTGTATTCACCCTGGATTCACACCGAATTCATCAACCAAACTTGTCATTCCAGGGGCCATCAGCACCTCTGCCACCAGCCAGGGGCTGTCTGGCTGTGCTCTGCCACCATTTGTTGTCCCTCTGTGCAAACCCCACACTGCAGAGGGAGGGAAAAGCCTCTCCCATTTCTGCTGCTGGAGAATGCCTCTGACTAGGACCCATCACAGGGACTGACAGTCCTGAGGAGATCTGGGATGAGCAGAAGAAGACTCTCTTTCTGGGGTGAATTTCAGACACTTCTGATGGGGCATGCAGAATATCCCTGTTTATGCTGTAAGGAGAGAAGCTGCAAACACCTTCTGGCTCTGAGCAGCTGCAGGGCTGGTAAGTGTATTCTGGCCAGGAAAGTCCCCAAACTAAAACTAAAGGAGTGTGAGAAACAGAGCAGCATTTCTTTCAGCCTTAATTCACTGCACTGGGGGCTGGGCAAGCAGCTCCAAACCCTGAAGCAGGTGGCCAGCCTGGACCAGGGACAGCCCTTTTTGGGGACATGCTTGTGGCAAGACCACACAAGACCACACCTCAGCCACAAGCCATCACTGTCCTGTTGAGCTGCCCCTGGATTTACAGCACTGCCACTGCAGCACAGCTGTTGGCAATGGACTGTGCAGTTCTTGCTCAGAAGAATCGCTGTGATGACCACAAAGGTGACCTCATAAAGTTGGGGCAAACTGCTTGCAAGAATTTAACATATGGCTCATGTCATGAGTGGCAAAGAGCCCTGACATACCAGGACCTCATTTTCCCCCCGTCCCTGGTAAAGAGTGACATCTTTTACTAGCTTCCTGTTATAACATCATCAAAGCAGATGGAGTTCAAGCAATATAAAGTACAGTGGTGTGAAGGATGGGGTGCAGGGAGGGGTGAACGAGACCATCAGCTTGGAAAATGCAGAATGGAACTTGATCTGAGGCCTCTCAGCCTCAGCCAGTGTTGGATGAGGGCTGTCATGGTGGGCTTGGAGAACCAGGCCCTGCAAGGGAAAACTCAATTAAAGAGACTGCATGAACCACACCCAGGATAAACATGGCCAGCACCAACGTGTATTTTTAAACTGGCAGAAGTGGCCTGCACAGACTTTAAGTTTTTTGGTTTTGTATTTTTTTTTTTTTTTTTGGCACAAGCTGAATTAATAGAAACTGCTTTAAAATCTAACTCCTGTACAGAGACCTATGACAGAGATTATGCCTAAGCCTACTGACACTTAATTTGCTGGGAAGCAATGCAGCTGCAGCAGTATTGAGAGGTTCAGAAAAGCCCAGTAGCATGTACATCATCAGCAAAAGGCTCAGGCTGAGCCTCTGCATGCACATACTGGACATCAAAATGTTATCAGCACCTTGAGAGTCTGCTGGGCAGGGATTAGTAAACAGCCAGAGGAGCTGATAAAAAAAATGCAAACCTTATAGCAAAGAGTGAGTTAATTCCAGGCTGTCATTGCTACCATCTGCACTTCCAGAAAGACTTTTGTCAGACATTTGGCAACCAATCCTTCTGAGCAGCAAAGGCAGTTGCTGTGCCTTGTTATGAACTATAGAGGCCAGATTGTGAACTCTTTCCCACCAGCATTAAATCATGCACTGGAGTCAGAGGATTTACTCTGGGACACGTGACAAAATCTGACACTTAGTTACCAATATAAAACATAGAATTTAACCAATTGTCTTGTAAAATATCTTCTGAGTACATTACCATGGAGTAAAAAAAGAGAAACTTTTAGGATCTATGGAATTCTAGAAATAGTTCTTTCTAAGCTGCATGCCTTGGCTGGAAGTATTTTTGGCTTAATTAAAAGCTTTCAAACCTGTGCTGGTGTCCATAAAAGCAGAAGCCCTTATAAACACAGAGAGAAACTGAGATGCTGAGAGCAGAGAAAAATCTGTGGCAGCAAACGTTTCTTCTCAGCACCTCTGAAAAGCAGATTTGCATGATGAGTGCAGTCTGAATACATCACACCCATATTCCAACAGCAAGTCTCACCTTTCCAAAAACCAAGAGAACTTGGGAAGCAGAAATAGGCTCAGTGCTGCAGAGCCAGAGGTACACAGTCAGGCAAGGGAGAGCATTAGATCCCTGATCGTTAATTCCTCTGCACATAACCCGGAAAAAATGTGTGTGCTCAATTTCTCTCTCACAAAATGTCTCCTTCGCTTCATATTTTTCACATACACCAGCCTTGGCGTGCAGTCAAGAAAATGTTAACATCTCTGGCAAAAATCTACAGCCCCTTCTTAACAACATGTGCAATCCATTTCTTCCAGCCCCAATAGTATTCTTCCACCCTGCTACTCCCCCACACACATGGACACTCTTTTTTTTCATCTGCAGACACCCTCTCTTGCTCTTCCTCTTCTCCATCCACTCAGACACATTCCAACTGTCTCTATTTCTCCATCTCTGTCTCACACATATGTCTTGCTGGGCAGAGAGCAAATTGGCAACCACAAGCTAGATATGGAAGCAGGGAGATACAAACACAGCCACAGTCTGGACTCTGTCTTGGAGGAGTTTCTAACTCGCCTGTAGGAACAGATTTATGAGTTAGCAGTTGAACCACTTGAAAGTCCTCCTGCATTATCCCAGAGCTGGGCTGGGATTTATCAGACAGAGCTAAGCCATGGTGTGTGGAAGAGAAGACTTAGGTTATTTCTTAGTAACTGTAGTCTACAAGACCTGTGTAGTTTCTCCTGCTAGAAGCCACGGGTTGGTCTTTGGTTTGGGAATAACAGCTGAAAAGAATGGGCCATCGGGGAACCACAGTGAAGGACATGCCATGGAACACGGGCCACAGCCCCAGCCAGGCCAGAGCAATGAGTGATGATGCTGTCTGTGACTGCAGCTCCTCAGGAGGCTCATATGTTCTTTCTTTTATCAACTTCTCAGTGACAGACCTTCAATCACCAGCTCAGCCAGCTAAATGAGCAACAGCATCTCTTCTTTGCAGACCAGGGAAACAGAGCCAGGTTCTGCCTTGGCCCTGTCATGCTTTTCTGCAAGTCCCACACTGTACAAAGGGTGGAAAAAAGTCTTTCCTAGCTTAGGAATTTCTAGTTAATTCTCTTTTTCTAACTATTAGGTGGTTCTACTTACAGTGATGGAAGACAGCCTTGGCTGGAGAAGTCCCATGACACACAGACACACAATGGTGATGGAGACACGTGGCAGATTCACAGGATGGCAGTGACATGGAGACATGAATTTGCACACAGCAGTCATGGAGGTGATGTGGGAAAGAGATGAAGGAAGCACGAAAGGAAATGGTGATGAGCAGGATAGGAGTGATAGCCCCCCTCCCTTTTTGCTCTCCTCAAGCACAGACTAAATCAGACTGCAGCCACAGAACATCCACAGCAGGAATGCCACACCTGCCTGTTCCCCTGAATGAGCAGTCTCTCCTGAATGGCCATGAGCACCTGCTCATCTGACTCTTCCTCAACAATTTCTGCATGAGGCCACTCCTGTTACCTTTATGTGTGTTACCCAGGAGCCAGGCCTGCTTAGGGGACAGCTGCAGCTTCTACTGCCATCTCTTTGGAGGAGGAGAGTGGGACCTGAACAGCACCCACAGACCTCCCATTCTAGAGGGGAATTTGCTTTCAGAAAATTACTGTTTCCCCATTATGCAGAAGGACCCAGCCCCACAGCTGGCATGGAAGATACCACTGTCTCCACTAAAGGCACCACTAGTGATCAATAATTAGCAAGACTAATTACAGCCCCTACTTGGCTGTATGGAATGCACCTCCCCTTCCCCTCTGAGTCTCCTCAGGGCCATTAACATCACCCCTGCTTGCAGGAGCTGGGACGGGACTGCAGAGATTCCTGGGGTGTTTCCAGCAGGCAGCACTTCAGCTGCAGGACAGGTCACTGCATTTCAAGCCAGACACACCCCTCTGCTGAACTCAGCTGCTGAGCAATACCATGTGCCATCATCTTCTTCATCTCCTCTCTTCCAGAGCAGGTCGAGTGGGTAAGTGAAGAGCCTCTGTGTGTTGTTGGATGCTAAGGTTTCTGTCTGGCTTCCTGGGACCTCTGCTAGGCTCTGGAGAGACTGCTGTTCCACCCCTGCTCTGGGATTTTTTGGGAATTTCTGGGGAATCTCTGGGATGAACCCTGGGAATTCAGTGGAAATTTGTGGGAGAAACACCAGGAGAACATCAGGAATAAACACCAGGAATTTGTGGGATAAACACCGGGAATTCACTGGGAATTCACATTGGGAATTCATGGGATAAACACGGGGAATTTATGGGAAAAAAACCAGGGAAAAAACATTGGGAAAAATACAGGGAAATGTCCTGTAGCAGACTGGAAGGGAGGCTTTCCAGCCTCCAGTTCTTTGCAGCTGATGGCCTCTCTCATCCCACTGCACATAGGGTAGGGATCCTCAGAAAGAAGTGTCTCCCCTCTCCTCAGCAAATTACCCTGCAGAGTGCTCGCAGCAGCACACACCTCACCCTGACCCCCCTGCTGCTGTGGCAGCCTGGAATGGCAGTGGAAATGGGGGGGGATTGTGGGATCTGGAAGCTGGATTCCAGTGTCTGTGGAGGAAGGGGTGTGGGGCAGAGGGCAGGCTCCTCAAACAAGGCCAGGCTTCCCTGTACAGTTTCTTCTGTCACCAGTGGCTGCAACACTCACGTGCTATGGGGTGGCTGGACTCTTGTGTACTCACCATCTGCCAAGTTGTCTGAGTGCCAGAAGCTACTCATGTTAAACTCCAAAAGGAAGCTGTCAAAAGAGCAAGAAGAGAGGATGCTTTTTCAGCAGCCTGGAAGGATGCAGGTGTCAGGGAGATGGCCCTGTTGCCCAGTGAGTATCAGTTCTAACATGTTTACTACAAATTTCTGGCAGTGCAAGTCTGATTTTTAGATTTTTAATTTTTTTCCCCTCTCCACATGCTCGAATGTAGCTCTGTATCGTGGGATCTGTACTGTGGAAGATCTGAATGGGCTTTTTCTTGAAGTATATCCTGAGCAAGGGCCAGGGAAGGAAGGAACAAGTATGGCAGCCCCTGAGGCTGGGATGGGATTCAGCCACTACAGGATCCAACCTGAGGAGCAGGCATGATGGCCAACAGAAGCCCACACTCTGGGCTGCTTGGAGGTAACTACATGGAAATGTTCTGTACCAACAGGCTAAAACCCTCAGAGCTGGACCTTTCACACACCCAGCAGGCTGAGCAGTGGCACTTCTATCCTAATTTGAGCTTGAACTCTGATTAACCCCAGAAGTCTGATGTGAACCCAAACCCAGAGGAGAGCCTCCCCTCTGTCCCCCCTTGCCTGGCATTCAGACCTGAGCTCTTGGCCTGCTGCCTTTAGTCTTCTCCCCTGTGAAAGGAAGATGTGCATTCGCTCCTCATGGGCAAATGAGACAGGCAAGAGAGCTCGGCACCAAGGATCTGCACAGAGCCCCCCAGGAGACCCAAGTCCTATTTCTGACTCAGGCACTTTGTACTGAGTGACTTCAGGTAAATCCCAGACCCACTGTGGGCCTCTGCCTCTCAAAATGGCAATAGTAATAGCTTTCTGTCTCCCAGGGGCACAGTGCAGAGCTGAATGTCAGGAGAAGGCTGACAGCAATGCCCTACGTGGGGGCTTCCACTTGCAGCTTTCCCAGCTCTTGCCCCTCCTGGTCTGAGCCTCCCAAACACCCCCATCTTTTGGTACTCACATGAGGAAATCACTTATCAGCCACTTCACTGCAGCTACAAAGGCATAAATTGGCTGGAGAACGAAAGAAGAAATGAGAAATACCATAAGGACCTTGTCAGAGAATTTATAATTGTTATGCAGGACCCCACATTTTAGACTAAGTCTCTCCACTGATCAGAGCTCTTGAAGACAGGCTGGAAATACAAGGTCTGGGCATCACTGGAAAATGTTCAAAATACATCAAAAGCCAGCAGAGCTGCCCTGCTACTAATAATACCTCCTTACCCCCTCCCCATGAGGGTCAGGGAGTTTATCAGGAATGTATGAAGGACTTTGAAGATGTAATTGCTTGATGATTTCTCTCCAGTGTGGATGACCTTCAGAGCTCAGAGCAGGAGAGAAACACAGCTAAATGGGACACCACCAGTTTAGGATGCTTTTGTGTTCTGAGAGCAAGTGGTGTTTCTGGGACAAGTGACAGCACTGCCCAGGATTTAGTATTATCTGCCATTGATTGATTATGCTTAACTGTGCTCTCATCCAGCTTTTCCTCAAGATGGCATGACTTCTATCATCTTCTTGCTTTTCAGCTACAAATTGGAAATCCAGTATTATCCCAGGGACAATTCATCTGCAGAGGATACTGCTGCTTCTTTTCCTCATGGTAACCACGTCTAATTTTCATCTCCCCCTCTCATAATCATGCCCATGTCCTCAAACCCAAAACAGATGTGGTAGTCACGGGATGCAGGATAATGTTCTATTACTGGTGACTTCTCTTCAGCCAAAATAAGTCAGCAAATAGTAAAATGTAGAGATGGTTGGCAATTTGATTGATTTTTATGTCTGTGTATGAAAAACTGACTTTTCTTGGTTTCTTAGTTTTCAAGGGTTTTGCTAAGAGGGGAAGATGAGAGATGGAGGCTGAATGCTCATCTTTTAATTTTCTTCCCAATTCACCTCCATTTTGGCAGCTCATAGTTTGTGACATTTCTTTCAGTGATCAGAATTGGAGGATATAATCAAGCAAATATTTTCACTACAATCACTGTATGTTATCAAGCAAGCTTAAGTATAGCCATTGCAAACCAGACATTGTTAAAAGTGTTATTGTTAAGAATGTTGTTAAAAGGCAATATTTTGTTGAAAATTCTTTTACTGGGAAAAAAAATTACAAGGTCATGCTGTAAAGGTACTTCCTGCACTCCTTCCAGTATCAAAGGATCATAACAGTTATGAACACATTTAGGGTCGTGTCAAGCAGTTTGAATTGGCCTAAGTGTTGAGTAGTTACTTTGTTCTGCTTGTTTGAGGCAAGATTAGGAAGGTGGAGTGGGATTAGAGTAAGAGTTTGTATCAGCCTAAAGAGAGGTTGCATTTGGGTACTGGTAAAACCCTTCACTCTGTTAGTTTGCTCTCTGGGCTACCAGCATTCTCACTCTCCTGCTCCAAGCTCACTCATCCTTCCCCAATGACTGCCAGTTTTCCCCAGATGCTCTGTTCCCTGACACTGCAATTATCCTTGAGCTGAGTGAATACATGCTCTGTAAAAGCATTCCTGTTCATTTCAGCTGCTAGCTGATTGCTTGGCTTAAAGCAGAACCTGCCCCAGCCTAGCTCCCATTCTTTCCCTGCTCCTTCCAATTTTCAGTGAGCTCCTGTATGGCAATAGAGAGCCACACTGGAAACCAACATCAGTGGCCACCACTGCTTCAGGAATCTGCCTGGGGTGAGCTTGGACAGTCCCATCCTGAAAGCAAACATCTCCTGAAGTGTTTTGGGGAATGCTGGAGATGCCCTGCAGGAGGAAGCCCAGCCCAGGGAGGCTGCATGGTGACAGATACGTACGCTGAGCAGGGGTCGGGCGCCGCTGTGGTGGTGGTAGGGCACCTTGCACATTGCCTGGTAATCATACATGGTCACTCTGCAAGCAAAACACAACAAGCAAGCAGTCAAAAGCAAGCAATGCAACCACCCACAGGACAGACACGTCAGCTTTTTCTCAAAAATGTCAGGTATGAATTGTTTCCTGGATTCACTAAAGCAGTGACCTGCTTACACGTGTTTTTGCTGTTTGGCCAGTGCTGGATCTTGCAGAGCAAGAAATACAGGCTCTGGATTAATGTAACTGGGTCAGTACAGGAAGAAATATGTCCCTAATTTCAGACAGTGAGTAAAGCAAGCTATGAAGAAGAGGAATTATAATTGTAACTACCTCAGGTCCCCCTAGTTCCTGTTTTCAAGCCACTGAAATGCTGAACTCTCTTTTGACATCGGCTGAGGGAGTGCAGTGAGATGAACAGAATTTTTTTAAGAGAGAGAGAAATGTGGTCAGCCAGCTGCAATGCTGCATCTGTGGGGCTCTCAAACAACCACTCCCCAGAAAGGCTTTCTGAGTGGCAGAAGGAACTGAAGCACTTCTGTGCCCAAAATGCCTTGAAAAGCTTCCCATAGCATCTTGCCCTGGAAAAGACAGATGCAGGTCACAAAGAGATTGCAGGTTTCTGTCTCTCTGTTTTGCAGCAGGTGGAAGAGCAAGAGATGAGGAGAAACAGTGTGTGTGCTGGTGATGGCTGAGCCAGTCAGCAGATGGGGCAGGTAGCTAAAGGAGCTCTTGTGTCTAGGTAAGAGAGTCACATGCATCACCAGCATGCACATTTTCCGTGCTCAAGTGCTTCTTAGAGGGACCAGCATGCTCTGACCCACACAGCAGTGAAGAACAAGAAGTACAGTGTGGAGATCCCCCACTTACCGCCTGAACATGCCCATGTTTAGCAGCTGGGTCATCACTGAGCCATCCACTGCACCAAAAAATTTTCCAGTCTGCAAACACAAAAAGGGAAAAACAGAATAAACTGTAAATTTTCCAAATGCTCGATGGCTCCAGCTGATATAGTTTGTCTGGAGGCCTGCTGCACACAATAAGGGTTTTTGTAAGGAGTCCACACCGATCTTTGTCCTTTGGCTGGCTGGAAAGCTTGAGGGAGGACTTCCCCCATCACCAGCTGGGCATCCTGCACCATTCCTACCACGCTCGGAAATTCCTTAGCCCACATAAGTCCTTGTGGCTTGTGTCAGAAAAAGGCAGTCTCTCAAGCTGCAGAGAGCCAGGCATGCTGAATCACTGGGAGCCTGCACTCTCTCGTGGGTTATTGGGAATCCATGTTCTCTGGTGCTGAATGACTGAGTCTTCCATTTGAGCCTCTCTGCTACCCATGGCCACTGTGGTTTTGGAAACCTCTGCTCTCCTGCTGCCCTAGGTGAACTGGCCCACCATGCACAAGTGTGACATACAGATTTATTTCGGTAGCAAATGCAATTTTACAACTCACTGCTGTGTGAGTTCTGAGCAGGCAGTGACCCAACAACACAACACAAACCCATCCATCCCTGTAGCTTACATACTTTGCACTGGCACAGCATGAACTGAGTTGCATTTGGGGGGACAACACCCCCCCAGTCCTGCTTGCATGCCTGAACTAAAGGTGGAGCTTGTGGCCCTCTGGTTCCATGTATGCCTTGGAGTGAATAACCCCAAATAAGGACACAATCTCAAATCTGATAACTGCTTCTTTAAAGATTTCCTCAGACAAACAATTCTGGCCTTCCTGATTACTAAACCATGACAAATATATTGCAGAAATGCTTCAAACCTGTCAAGTCCATCTCTTTGTTCACAGGCAAGTAAATGAAATGTTTGTAAATAATAAAAGTACAGATATGAGCTGTCCTCTGTCTGTTTTCCTGGCTCATGGGTCCTGACAGAGTAAATAGATCCCATGTGTTATGGAAGCATTCACACAGTCTGGGATTTTTTGCTTTTCCACTGATAGGCTAGCAGTCATTTAGCATGTATTAGCAGATGACTGATGACTTCATTTATTTGAGTGGGACATTGCCACAAAAAAAACCCAAACTCTTAGGCAGATTTACCTAAGATCACATGATAATCATCTAACAGTAGTGTTACATGGTTATGAGCCTCTTCCCAAAAGGCTTTAGAAGTCATTTCACTGTATAAATTGATACATAACATCAACTCCCCTTTGAGCATTTGGCTTTTAATCGTCTCAGACAGTCAAATGTGCCTGAGCAAGCACTAACTTTTTCACCTCCCTTGCTCTTTCAATCTGATTAGGGTGGTGAAGAGGCCAGCTGCTTCCATTTAATACTAGTCTGCAGACCCAGAGATTTAACACAGTGCAAACTGCAGGCAGTGGGGCAAGGAGAGGGGGCCACTGCAAGGCTGTAAATGAGGCCCATCCTCTCAAGAGATGCTGATGTCTGGCCAAATTTCTCCATGTAGGACATCATTTGTATAGGTATAAGAATGAAGAACACCTGCTTTGACTTCAGAAGCACTCAAAAGTGCTGCTCCCTTCCCTTCCCTTCCCTTCCCTTCCCTTCCCTTCCCTTCCCTTCCCTTCCCTTCCCTTCCCTTCCCTTCCCTTCCCTTCCTTCCCTTCCCTTCCCTTCCCTTCCCTTCCCTTCCCTTCCCTTCCCTTCCCTTCCCTTCCCTTCCCTTCCCTTCCCTTCCCTTCCCTTCCCTTCCCTTCCCTTCCCTTCCCTTCCCTTCCCTCCCCTTCCCTTCCCGTTTTCAAGGGTAAAAACTAGATACATTCAATTAAAGTTCAGATTTTTCTGTCTTTAAAACAAAACAAACAAAAAGCCATCAAAAAGCAACCTCAGAAATCCTCAACCAACAACCTCTTTCAAGAGGTTCTTACTGCTCATAAACAGATATTGATATAACTTTTTTAAAGAAGCACATACTTTAATTAAAAAAAAAACAGTGCGAGTGAGAGTATGGTCTAGGGAGTGTGTTCAGAAAGGCATCAGCAAACTGGCCTCCAACATAAAACCAGACATTCAAAGCTTGCTGCTGTTTTAGGTACCCTCTGCAGGTAGTAACAGAGAAAAGCATCTGGGCAGAAACCAAAGTTGTCCTGTAGTGGAGCAACGTTTTGTAAAGCAGCTCTCATTGCATCCTGCTTCCTCCAGTGACTGCTGCTCTCTTAGGCATCCCTCTGCTGTTTCTCCTAACTCCCATCTCTGGGCAAGTTTCCACAGGCCTTTGCCATTTCAGAGGTTGACAGCACAAAGCATTGCTCTGACATCCCACATGACACACGCAGCTGAGTGTTCAGGCACATGTGCAGGCTGTGCACAGGATGCAGGCTGTGCATGCAATCCAGAGCGTACCTATGACTCAAAAGCCACATCATTGCTCACATGCATCCATGCTTTGCTGGCTCATTGAGCAATTTACACTTTTTGTACACTCAGAAGCTGCAGACAAACAAGATCTGCCAAATTGCCTAGGCTTTGGGCAGGCAGGCAGTCTCCTTGTGCATGGCTCAAACAGAGCCAACCCTTGCTTCTCCACAAGCTCTGAGCTCTGGTGGAATCTCGACCTTTTGGCTGCCTCTGTACCCTGCTCCTGAAGTCCCACCTGGGCAGAGCTGGCAGACATCCTCTGCAAAATGCCTCAGGCAGAAGGCAGCAATCCTAGCAAAAGGGGTTTAGTGAGAGAGGGAACATCTGGATGGAGCAGGCGGAGGGAGCTCAAGACCTGGGATCCACAGCTGTTCCTATGACTGGCAGTGAGAAGCAGCTAAAAACTCAGGGGTGGCTGTGGGGCCACAGCTACAAAGTGACAGAAAACGCAGAGCAGCCCTCCCTGCAGCACAGCCTGACCCTGCCACTTATTTTCCCTTCCTTCAAGTCCTCACTCACTCCCTTCTCCTGGCTCTGTGTTTTAACTCTTTGCTCCCTCTGGGATGAGACTGGATGGGGAGATTATCTTGAATTAAGGGATTACCCGTTCTTCCCCAAGTAATCCTGCAGGGAGCTTCCAACTTGTCACTCATTAAAATACTGAGTCCCTTTTCCATGGTGGTTTCCAACTGCCTGTAAGCTTCCTGCTGCCTTCATACAGAGGTTATTAGAGCCAATCCCTCACCCTGATCCCCCATCCCAAGGGCAGAGGAGAGCAGAGCCTGAGCTACGCTGTCCTCACACCATTCATGCAGGAAGCTGCTCTGATTTCCTGTGTGGTCACCCAGGGAAGGAGATACAGGCACCAGGCAGCTCTGGCAGGCAGAAAAGCCAAAATACCCACAAAAACCTAGGTACAGGATTTTTGGGGAATTTTTTTTAATGGACGCCTTCAGGAAAGACTACAGGATGGGACACAGAAGGCCACACAGCAAGTGATCCCACGCAGCAACATCCAGGTGGCAAAGTTAGGAAACCCAGGGAATTGATTTAGTGCTGTCTTGAATTCCCTGTAGGGTTTAACAGTGTGCAGAATCATAGTGCCTCCAGAAAATAAAAACAGTAACTGTAACAGAATAAAGAAATCAGAAAATAAAGCAGTGGTGAACTCTCTAAGGTCAGGGAAGGTAAAAGCTGGAGGAGGACAGCTCTGGTGCTTGCCAAAATGCCTGATCTTGGAGGCATGTGGATAATGTTTATAATTTACCTAAATCCACTATAATGCCATGTTTCTGCTAGTCAGATCTTTCAGAGATGAGCTTTGGAAAAACCCATTTTCCATAAGATGCAGGAAAAAGTACCAAGGCAGGACCCAGGAGGGCACTGCTGAGGACACACAGGTGACATGGTAGCTAAAGGGTGTAGCTGTCTCCACTGATGGACACATGTCATAGGAGTCAGCAAAATGTCTTTGAAAATGCCATGGGCAACAGAGGAGAAAACAGTGATTCCTAAGACTGCCAGCCTATCCCAAAAACTCAGTAGGGACTCATATAGCTGATGTTTTCCATCTGAATAGCCATCTAAGAATTTTTCTTCTTTCTCTTCTTTCCCAGCTACTTTGAGATCAATGTCAATACTTCAAGCTTTACTGTTTCACCAGGTTCTGCTCTCTGAACCTGGTAAGGTTAAGAGTAAGGGACTCTGTTCAAGGCTGAAGTAAAAACTGAAATCCAATAGGTTATCTAGTCTCCCTTATCTCCTGATTTTGTCACTCTTTCAAAGACCTATAGCTGATAAGTTTTCTTCCTTCTGGAAACTGTGCTGCTTGTGCCAATTACATCCACCAGGAGGTCTGTTACCTTAATTTCCATTTCAACCTGTTTGTCACATCTTAAAGAAAGTAATTTCTGGGACTGGATCTACTGCCTTTTGTAAATACCCAAACTATATTTGTTAACTCCAGTACAATGGCAATTTTAATGAAACTCCACAATTCTGTCAGTAACAAACCCCCCTAATTTCCCACTTCTTCTCTAAGCCCACTCTTACTATTGCCTTACTGCTTTGTAGTTTATGAGATTGTTCCCACATATCACTTTCTGACGTCCAGAAATGTGGGGTTTAATTATTCTGAAAGAAGAAGTTCTCTGGTGAATTTATCAGAGAACAGAGAAGTGCAGCTCAACCATGCAGTGGCTGATAGTGTTGACTTTACCTAGCTGCACAGGATGTCACATCAAACTTGCACCCCTTCAGCTCCCTAGAAATGGCTGTGGAACCACACATCTTATTTTTATTTCTATTCTGAGCCTTTTCCCTTGCTCCTTTCACATCTGCAAGTCCAGTAAATTCTCCAATTCTTTAGGTGCGTTCCTGTTTCCAATTTACTTAAATTATTTTGTCTTCATTTTTTACCTCTAGCATTTTGCTCTTACCATCCCTTCAGTTTCCTTTCCTGACGAACACCTGCTTTGACTTCAGAAGCTGCTCAAAAGTGCTGCTCCCTTCCCTTCCCTTCCCTTCCCTTCCCTTCCCTTCCCTTCCCTTCCCTTCCCTTCCCTTCCCTTCCCTTCCCTTCCCTTCCCTTCCCTTCCCTTCCCTTCCCTTCCCTTCCCTTCCCTTCCCTTCCCTTCCCTTCCCTTCCCTTCCCTTCCCTTCCCTTCCCTTCCCTCTCAGATCATAATAGCATCTGTGCCAAGGGAACAGAGTCTAATTTCCTTTATTCTGATCAAAAGATATTTTGACTAGTTCCTTCCTTATCACTGCAAACTCCTTCCTCATCTAGGATGTGCTGTCACTCTGCTGGGAGCCTTCCCCCTCACTGCGCAGTTGAATTTAATTACACCACAGCCACCCCTATTACACAATTCAACTTCTTTTTTTTAACCAGCTCTGGTGGGTTATTCAGGAACAAGCAAACCCCACTTCCCTCCTTCTCTTATGCTCTCTTACCTCTTCAGGTATTTTGGAAACAAGTATAAAGCCGTTGTTGTCAATGAGGAAGCAGTTCAGAATCTGCAGAGATGGAAGAGAAGCAATATTAAAGATGGTTTTTCCCCTGTTTGTGTTCAGGATGGAGCAGTGTGGGTTTGTGATGATGCCAACAGCCTTGGCATTTCCACACCAAGCCCCACAGCTCAGGTACCATGAGTTTACACAATTCTTTTCCCTCTCTGCCTCAATTTTGGGGTATTGAGTCCATGAGCTGTGACAGAGATTGTCTCTAGCTGGGGCTCTGTGCAGGCCTAGCAGGCTTTGAGCCACACTTAAGATAAGGCATCCTTCAGGATATTTGTAGTTCTCTTTTCTTTAGTAATATGGTATTTAATACTTTCCATCTTCAGATTTCAGAGTTTTATAATAACTCACAAAATAACCCTCTCCCCACCACTCAGTATCAGTGCTGATCTATTTTTATTTTGCAAAGCAGGAAATGGAGGCACAGAGTTTAGATGAAAACTCTTTCCTGCAGGGAAAACTAGGAAGCAGAGAAAATCCTACGTGAACACACAACAACAACAAAAAAAAAATCTCTGATGATCTCACTTTTCAGGGCAGAGGAGCTCCTGTCTCATGTAATCCTGATACCAAGGCTGAAGCAGTGGCATAAACACAAAGAAAGGTGTCCAAAGAATGCATGTCACACTGACAGCCACTTTTTTTTTTTTTTTTTTTTTTTTTTTTTTTTTTTTTTTTTTTTAAGATCTGGGATACCAGGGAGACATTTAAAGGAGATGGACTTTCACTGGCTGGAATCCCAATGTCTCTGCCCTGGCCCAGCTGGGGGGAAGACCTAAACTGCAGATTTGTCTCATTACTATGAGGTCCTGCCCCAGCTGTGCAATCTCTTGTGAAGAGACAACAGGCATTGCCTTTTTTTTGGGGAGACAGACATCTCCACAGAGCAAGTGGTGAATCACACCCTCCACAGGTACAGAGAAGAAACTGAGGCAACTTACATCATCCTGACAGCTGAGTGGACAGGCACCATCCAAGCCACGGCACTGCAAAGGGAAAGCGGAGAATTAACCATGGTGTGAAGGCAATTTCCCACTCTGACCATACAGGAGCTGCTCTGGCAGTCACTCCCCCACCACCAGAGGCTTTCATTGCTGGGACAGAGGCAGCAGCAGATACAGTGACCCCACAGGTCTCTGACTCCCCATACACCCCACAGTCACACAGCCAGACAAGTCTTCCTTCCTCGTTCATCTCCAGGTTTCCCATAGCAGGGTCTCAGACATCCAGAACCTTAAAGCAATTTATTAATGGTGCAGCAGAAAGAGCTCGAGCCAATGCCTCTGAGGAGGGGCCCCAAACAAAGGAAACTGAGCTTTTATACCCTCACAGCCCATGTGTGTGATTGTCTTGGGTCATCCTGATGGGACATCTGCTCCTGCTGTGTCTCCAGGTCCCACATGTCCCCGTGGTGCCCTTTGTTGTGCAAAGGGTCAGTGCCAGGCCACAGCCTCTTGCCCAGGGCTCCCAGAGCTCAACCTGCAGCTGCACCCAGAGCCACCTGTGCTGAGTGGATCCCTCAGCACACAGCATGAACTCATCTTACTGTCTCCCCCTTGGGACTGCTGGGCTAAAGGTTTGCAGAACAGTATCCCAGACAGCTCTGCAATTCAGCTGGCATTTCCAGCAGGACAAGCTCAGTGGCACGCACAGGTATCACCCCCAGGTCAGCCACTCCAGCTCCCTGCCTCTAGGAGCAACATCCCCTCTCCTGAGGGCTCAGATCCCACACCTGCCTCCCCAGCGTGTGCCCGGCAGGACCTGTGCACCCCAAGCAGAGGAGGCACTTGTAAAGAAAGGGTGAAAGCAAAGGTTATTGTGCACCAGGGAGAAACCAGCATGCATTTCAGCATTTGTTAGTATCTGGACTAAGAACATAGCATGGTATTTTAGATCAGGGCTCTTCTCAGGCAGGGATTTTTTTGTTGTTGTTGCTGTTGGTTTCTTTATTCTCCAGATAGCTAATGATAAAATAGGATGTGAATGGTGCACAAGTAGCCCAAGGCACCATCCACTTCTTTCATTTAGAATTTCTGCATAGTGGAGTTGACATGTGTTTCACAACACTGAACTGGGTAGGGACACGAGGGGTTAAGTGGTGAGTAACAAAGCCCTTCAGGTGCTTATTGATTTCATAATTTTTCAGAGTTTGCCATGGCTGCATGTGTCTGTCTCTTTGTGTTATTTTTTTAATTCTATTTTCTCCAGTAGCAGAGGGAAGAAAGCTGACATAGTGTTGCCTTTTCTGTGCATGGAGTCCCCTTCCTGCCAGAGGTTTTCTGGGGTCAGGGAAGGACACTGGCATAGCACATAGCCTGTCTGCTCTCAGCCAGCTACCCTCTACTTTCTCAAAACCCTTAGCCATAAAATCCAACCCCCTTTCTGGGTGATTCTCAGTAACAAGAGGCAAACTGGTCATTCCAGACAACAAGACTGTAACTTTCAGTTAGAATTTGTTTCTCCCCTTGAGTTTTGCAGAACAAAACTGGTTTTCTGTCTGTCTGTTCAACTTCAGAGGAGGTTTGGAGATGCCTGACTTTGTTTCAAGTCCCACAGCTTTGCAATATCACATGTTCACACTCTGAATCCAGCTGGCTTTTTGAGACTCTAGGGATGATGGTTTAAAAAAAATTCCTTTATCCACAGTTGCAAGCACCAGCTCACCCCTGCCTCACCACAAAGCAAGACGTGGTTGTTTTATTTCCCTGGATGTATTCCTAGAGGTCACCTGGCAGGTTCTTTCTTCTGGTCAGCAGAGAAACATGGTCACAACAAACCACAGTTATGGCCTTGGGGGATAACAAATACAGAGCCCAGTGTTCAGATATCAGAACAGAAACCCAGGTGAGCCACAGTGGTTTTCCACAAGACGGGCTCGTACCTCACACCTCTTCCTCAGCAGTGTGAGGGCTGAGTCTCACTGCCACTGCACTTCCTAGAGAGGTTCCAGCAGTGCCTGGTGCTGGGCTGCCCATACAGCAGCAGCACCACAGCAGGACCCTGGTTTGAGAGCACTGGCAGCTTGCAGGGAGCCCCTGAGATGGGGCAGAACTGAGCCTGTGCTCCCTGGTTTTTCTCAGATGACATCTGCTGCTTCATGGGCACAGCAGAGACCATGCTCAGAGACCAGCCTACCTCACAGCATCCTCCTGCTGTTGGTTGGGTTCTGTGACCCAGAGCACTTTGAGCTTTGCCAAAGACACTTAATTACTGTGAAGACAAACACAGCCTGTGACAGGTTTGGACCCTCTCCAGAGGCTACAGACAAGGGACAGTGCCTATGATATGCTGGCAGACAAATGACACAATTAGGAAGCCAAGCTGTGGCGAGGCACGCCAGGATGCTTCCCTGTCCCCAGCTTTTGTCTACTTACATCAGTGTCATTGGGCTGGGAGGCACAGCATGGACATCCAGAGCAGCACAGCATCAGTGAGGCAGGAGAGAGAGAGAAAACAAAATCTGTTAGTCATTCCTCTGTCCAACGCTGCTGACATCCTGGGAAACCACATGCAACCTTTTTTCACACCAGCACCTACCAGGACCACAACTCGCAGCCACTTGGCACACAGGTCTCCTTCACCTGCTTTCATAAGGCCTCCCAGCTTCACTTAACACCCACAAGGGTTTGTTTGTGTGAGAACTGCCTGGGTATGGCCCTGAGCAGGGTTTTTAAAATGAAGGTCTCTGTTGCTGTTTCAGGATGCACTCATGTGCTTTGCAGAAATGCTTTTAGCTCAGGTTAGGTTTATGTGATCTCCACCTGTGAGGATGCTCCTGCCACCACAGAGTAGCTTCCTGCCCTCCTACCTTCTCTGTCATCCCCATCTGATGACAGTTCCCTCTCCTGACAGCAGAGAGCTGCTTCTGCTGTGTGCTGCTACTGTCCTCTCATGCTCACCTCCCCAGCAGACCTCCCTGAAAGCAAAGCCTGGGAAAGAATTGCCTGGGTGATAAGGGAAAGGTGTTTCATTTCTAATATTAGGACAACACCAAAAGCTCATCCCTGGAGCAAAAAATTTTTATTGTGGCAAGCTGGTAGCATTTTGTTATCATTATCAAGATGATAAGAGAAGGCAGTAGATTTTTTTTTTTTTTTGGTGAGCCCAGAATTGCAGATTTCCATGAGTTTTCTGAAAGGCTGAATGAGCACAAGCATATTTCCACAATTAAATGTGTCACATGCAGCACAGCTAATGCCAGGCCAGGATGCTGACACTGTCACCACGGCATCTGCAGAACAGACTCAGCATTAGCGCTGTCAAAGGATTACAGAAATGTGTGACTTCAAACTAATCTACTCCATAAATCTCTTAATATGAATTCCACAAATTCCCTCATTAAAATGTCATTGTATGTGATGTAACATAGCATTGACCTTGCTGACAAAGAGCATTAAATTTTGTCTCTGCATGATTGCTGTTGCTCTTACCTGTTGCATGGCCATCCAAAACTTGCGTTGGAGCAAATCCAGCTTTATTTGCACACCCACAGCTGCAGGAAACAAAAAAAGTGGTGGTGGGGGGGGGAGGGAATCAAAAGAAGAGCATTAAAGACAAATACAAGTTGGGAAAAGAGGAGTAAATATTTGTCCAAGGTGATGGGATGGAAATCATGATTACAACCTGCCTCGAAGTGTGAATGGTAAGCGCTGAGTCAGATTGCCAGGTGAGAGTCAGAGGTTTAACAAGGGAGAGGAAAAGGGGACACTGACTGTGCCAAGGTACTGAGATTTCCCTCACACAAAACACTATGAAGCTACAAACAGATCAACAACAAAACCACAATAAAAAAAATAGAAATCCCCTAAAAGCCCCCCAGGGTGGCATGAGTTTTTGCCTTTGTCTTTTTCAGATTTGCCTGGCCAGAATGGATGTTTGTGATTGCCCCAGCCTCAACTCATACCACACAGCACCAATCAGAAATAAAGTAGGCCAGTGAGGAAGGGATTAATTTGAAAACCCACCTGTCTCAAGGGGGAATCACAGAGATTTAGATTTTTCCTAAGCCACTACAAAAACACAGAATAATGAATGCCACTTGACAGGAAGTGTCGATTATGACTAGTGGTTTGTTACCTGGTCCCAGCCTAGTGCACAGTGGGCTAAGCAGAACTCTGTGTGTATGTGTGCTTCTTAATGAAGTGTGTCCTAATTTCCTGGCTTAATTTCCCTTCTATTCCTAGCATCATGCTCCTGAATTAAGACATAGTTAGAGAGGAGAAAGAATGGTGCAGGGTCTCCCTGACAGGACAACCTGGCTGTCCCTGGGTAGGCTGCCTACAAGCACACACAATAACCAGTGCAGTCTTGCACAGCCTGGTGTGGTGACGGGGAACAACTGGGCTGTGTGTCAACTAGTTGAATCCAAGAGCTCTGGAGGAATTACAGCCTCAAGCAGGACCTTGAAATAGAATATCAAGTGCAAGTGAGGGAGAAAAAGAAATACAGGGAGGGAGATCTGGGGCCTTTTTTCACAACCACCAATATCAGGAGGATGAAGTGTTGCTGTTTCTACAGATTTCCCCTGAATTAAAAGGAGCTTCAAAGGGGGGAACAGATCCTTTAAATCTGAATCATGCCGTGTGGGTGCTTTTAAGCTAACAGTATGATCTGATGCTCTAATTCAGATGGGTATGAATTAAAACTGGAGTATGCAATGGTATATATTCTTGCCTCATGTACAGAGACCCTAGCACCTGGCATCAGCTTTGTGTTTTATACCAGTGTCCTTGTCACGTTCCTACTGCTGGTAGGAATTACGTCTTACAAATCCCATATATCAGAGGCACATTTCTCATCCGGCTCTCCCTGCTGCAAACTGAATCTGACTGCCTGTCTGTGGGGGAAAAGAATCATTCTGTAGAGCTGCATTGCCCTAAGCCTCACAGAGCACAAACCAGACAAGACAAAGAATGTAAGCAAAGGAGGAAGGACAGGGCTGAGCCTGGCCTGGATGAAGATTCCTCAGCTCCAGCGAGGCTGTGGCAGCCATGGTTTGGCTTGGTGCCCCTGCTGACAAACCGACAGGCCATGACAGCAGGCGAGCGGTGCTGTTGCTGCTGAGTCCCATGAGGCCCACGCACCCGATTTGGTACGTAGCTTTAAATAAATTCATCCTTTCAAACCATCTCAAGAAAGAGTTGTTCCCCTTATCATAGCAGATCACATCAATGGGACTGAGTATTACCCAGGACATATAGTTTTCATGACACTTGAAGAGGAGTCGATACCTACATAACTAACCTTGTAATGCAGACTCACTCAGTGGCTCGTGTTTTTGCTACTGGGAACACCTCTCCTCAAATTGCTCTTCAGTGAGGTCTTAGTTCCTGGTTGTAAATCCTTGCTTCTGCCCAGGAAGCATAAGTAGCACAAACCTAGCCTGGACAGAGCTGTCTGCAACACAACGAAGAAGAAAACCTGAGGGGTCAGACTGGTGGCCAGTGGCAGGGTCAGAAAGTGGCAGCTACTGGCAAGAACTGTGAGCAACTGTCACACATTGGGTGACCTGTGTAAGACATGGGATCTGAGGAGAAGCAGGCCACAGTGAACCCCCTCCAGTGCTAGTAACAAATAGTCATCTGTGTGTCTTCACACTGTTGGTGAGGTCAAGGAGAAAGAAGGAAAGCAGTGATCCAGTCTGAGATAAGGATGATGCTATAGCTCAAGTGAGAGGGAAAAAAAACTGGAATAAACTCCTCCGTGTTCCAAAGAACAGCTGATTGTTAATCAGCCTTTTTGCTCTGGTGGCAAAGAGTATACTGCATTAGTGGGAAGATGTGAGGTCCATGAAATGATGAGTGGCCATTGCATATTCCCCAGAGAGACCACGGCTAACAGTTTTATTCCTACTCATATGCAAGCAGCTTATGCCACTGCAGCAGCCCAGCAATGCAATAAAGCAGGAGGAGAAGTGGTGATGAACACCTGGCACAGGTAGGCATCACTGTGTTGACATGGTACCCCAAGCTGTGCACCACTTGCCACTCCCCACCCTGCCTGCAAAGCCATGGCTGCAGTGGGCCTTCCCTGGAGCTGTGCACTCCTGTTTATAGTGGAGAGAACAGCCTTCCCCTCCACCTGTTCATCCCTCTGCTGAGCATGCCTGCTTCATTAGCTCATCCTCTGCTTGCCCCTCTTTCTGTCTGCAGTCTCTGGCTTCTCTCTTTGATTATCCATATGTTGTTCACACAAGGAGCTCTCCCCAAGATTTAATTCTTGAGCCTGCTGAACAATAAAAAGGCATAACAAAGTCTCAAGATTGCATCCTGCAGAGTGCCTATCAAGGTTTACCTCGTCATTCACAACCTGTTTTCATGATAGCTGGTCCAATGGTTACATAAAACTTGTGATTCAACTGGAAGGTACTAGAACAGCAGAACACTCATGCCCATACAATCCATTTGCATTTTCTAGTCCCTACTTCTGAAATATTCCTATTTTCCCTCTTGATTTAGCAACTCAAAATTTTACTTTGAGTCCTCTAAAAATTTAACTTCAAAAGATAACTTCCAGACATATTTAAATGAACAAAAAGCCCAAATCTACCTGTTTATGATACTGGACCTGATAGAAGGGGTAGTTTAAGTAGATCAACAAAACAGTAATTCTTGCAAATGTGAGCTACTGAGGTCCTCATCAAGGTGGAGGAAGGCAAGATAGGGGCCTGATTTTGGAGGGGAAGGCTACAGCAGCCTGTGGGAGAGCACAGAGGAAATCCCAATGGTGGTAGTGGGCTGGATTTGGCTGCTTACTGCATCCCTGTACCAGCAGGCAATGTCAGGGAGGGCAGGGAACGCCTGTCACTGATGGATGTCACGGCACCTTACACATGTACCTATGGCTGAACACACTCTCTGCTGCACCCAAAGTTCAGGGGAACAAACAGGATCTTTCACCCATTCCCCTCGTCCCAACTACCTTCTAACAGCAACCCTCAAGTTTCCCCATAATCCCTAAGGAAACAGACACAGGGCTGTGCTGCCCAGCGTGGGCACCTCTCTGTTGTCTCCCCCTTGGATGCACTGCCTCCCCAGCACATCTCTGGAGCACTGGTGGGAAGGGGGTGCCTTTCTCCCAAGCCCACTGGGTTCTCCCCTGCTGTCTCCCCATCGCTGCAGCCTCTTGCCTCTCTCCTACACAAAAGCCAGCGCTCGTCCCCTCTCATCCTGACGCCTTTCTCTGTGAGTTTATTGTCATCAGCCGTAGCAGGGGAGAGATGGAGGGAGGGGAGGAACTGTTCGGCTCGGTGCCTTCTCTTGTAACCTGTGTGTGACCAATCTACCTCCTCAGGGGCTGTGGGGAGCTCCTCCCGCCATGGCATCTCCTCACCCTTCCCCGAGCCCCTCGGCTCCTGGCACCCGGAGAGGGATGGCAGCAAGGGGGGGATGAAGGAGAGAGAGGGACTGTCAGCAACAGCCCTTTCTCCAGGATGCACTGAGAGGAATGAAAGCCTCCCGAGCTCCTTCCTCTGAGTGTTTGGGAGCAGATCCTGCCTGCTGGCGGGGTGACTCCTCTGCGCTGTCTGTGCGCGTTGCTGTGCGTGTGCTGCTGCCATCGCAGATGTACCCCCAGCTGTCACTTCGCCGCGCACAGTCGCTCCCTCTCCCGCCTCTCTCCCTCTTTCTCTCTCCCCCTGTTTATTATTTACGGAGGATTACAGTCCCTTTCCCACGCTGTCATCTCGCTGTGCGGCTCCCCTGCCCTCCACGCGAGGCCAGCGACTGGTTACGGAGGGCTCCTGCCAGCTAGGGTCCGCCAGCTGCCAACAGCGGCACTTTCTGCTGGATTTGCTTTGGGATTGTACCGCGTTCAGAGAGCTGCGAGAGCTGCCATTCTCACAGGAGGGTCCATTCCAGCCTGACAGAGGTAAGTAAAGCCGCTTCCCTTTTGTGTTTTTTCCCCATTCCCGGCTAAGCCAGGTGAGCGGAGCTGCCCGCAGGAAGCGGCTTCCCCGGGGAGGGGTGGCAGGCAGGGGCAGCGCTGCGTGCCAGACTCAGGGACAGCGATTTTTCCTCCCGTACCGCCGAACGGCAAACCTGCTGCGGAGCTTGTTCGTGCTGCTTCCAGTCCACTTTCAGTGCAGGCAGCCGGGAGCAACTTCTCCCAGCTGAGAATAGCACCGGCGGCTTTCCTGGCACCGCAGGCAGCTCCGGCGCAGCTTTGAGGCTGAGAACTCGGTGCTGGGGTCACCCCGGAGCGGGCAGCTCATGGTGAGCCCCGACTCCTGGATGCTCCTCGGGGCTCTCAGAGGGGTCAGCATGAGAGGTGCCACTCTCCTGACTTGTGATGGCTTTGCTGGCTATCATTTTGGACTCAGCTGTCTCAGTAAGAACAACCTAAAATGGAGAAGTACGGACTAAAAGCGAAGAGGTTCACAGCTTTAGGAATTGAGGGGGTTGTGTGTGTATGTGTATAAGGGCGTGGGTGTGTGTGGTCACAGACATGACCACAGGACATGAAGTGAAAGATGCCAAATCACAAGTAGAGCCA